GATTTTTCTCAATGCTATAAACAAAGAAATCAAGATTCAAATACTGAGCACTGGAAATAAATTCATTTCATTTTAAAATAAGTAACTTTAAATCACAGCCTTGAAGTTGGAGGGAATTTAATAAACTAGCTCAGCTCTCTTTGTAATTCAGGAAACTTTTTTTAGAACACTCTTGTTTGAACACTGAGTGGAAGTGTCCATTTTGGATGGCAGTGGATGAAATTAAAGTGTTTAGCTAATTTTAAGCTGAATTCTGTCTCTTGCTGTAACTTCTACCCTTTGGCCAAAGCTCTGATGCCTAAAATAATGAAGAAGTAATTTAAGTAGACCAATTAACTCTCTATTGTCTGTTAATATAGTTTATCAGACTGGACTTAAAAAGAACGATTTGTTTTGAAATAAGAAATACCCTTTAAAAACCTCTACATTCTTGATTTTCAGCTTGTAGACTGGGGATAGACAGATAATACAAAAAAAAGTACAAAAGTACCACGCCTGGTAGGAATGGTGGAGGACTGGAGAATCGCCAGAGAGAATACCCTATTTGTCTTCCCAGAAAGACTGAGTCCAATGTTGCTAGATCTGCAAATTTCCAACAGAGAGCCCAACTTCATAATTTTTATGTGAACTATTCCAATTTTTAAGGTGTTGGCAACTAGTTCAACTTTTTAAATATTTTATAGGCCAAACAAAGCAGCTTTATGGACTGGACTCAGCTGTAGACCACCAGTTTGCAGCTTCAACTTATTTAAAAGTGTCATTTAAAGAGCAACTATCCATAATTACTATTTTAAACACTAGGACATATAAAGTGAAATGTTAACATATTATAGATGCTATTTTATGTTTGAAAGAAATCGGTCACAATAGTCTAAGATTTAAAATTCTCCAAATTTTAGAATGTCCACTGATAGAATAGACATGAATAGAAGATTCACACAGCACAATTAACTCCTTTACATGAATAGCAGATTCACACAGCACAATTAACTCCTTAAAGAAAGTGTTCTCAGTTACTAATGTTCAACAAATTTAATACATTCAATTTTTTTAACTGCAAATTCAAAACATAAATCGCTAGCTAGGCAAGTTCGACTGGTTGGCAACATAACTTACTTTAACAACCAACCTGGTATTTACTATGTTTTGTGACTTTAGCTGATAGATGCTAGAGAAATTTTCATTTCTCTTATATTGTTATCCTAATTCATTAGCAAGCATGGTCAACTGTTAATGAGTGGATCATATATTTGATAATGGGTATACATATCATGCGATTGAACTTTTTTCAAGACTAATGTTAAAAACTGAAAATGGGAGATTTATTACGTCTTTAATAACCAATTTAAAAATTTTAAATAGTTTTTGTAAAGATCTATTAAAATCAAGTAGATTTCATTTAATTCTTCTTGGCAAAAAGGAACAAAAGAGCCATTATAAGCTATCACTAAAGATGCTCAGAACCGTTCAGTTTTTTACATATCAGTTTGTTATATCCAAAGCATGCTGCTTTTAGACTCTGCGCCAAACATACAAAAACGAAGAAGACCAAATTGGATGTGAAATAACAAAAGATTTATATCAAATACAAATAAACATTTCACTAAACTTAGAGTCAGAGAGAGTAGGGTAGATATAACAACCAGACGTTTAATTTAAGTCACTGATAGAAATAGTGTCCTCTTTTCATAAACCACTTGGATTTTATTTGTATTCAAAAGCAATGGTAAATGTCAAATGACTACTAGACCATCCTTCTGAATACAAGAAAATATCATGCTGTTTAACTCTCTAAACACAAAAAGTTCTTTTAGAAAAACAAAGATAAAGAACAGCATGTCTTAGTCACACACATCGATAGAAGAACCAAAAAATGCTAAAAGATACCAAGAGCATAACAATAAAGACCTTCAATTACTACATATTTTAAGTTTTTGAACTTCAAAAGAAAGCTTACAGATAAGAATTTTTAAGTTCAAGATAAATCTTATGTGTAAAGTTCTGAATATCAAAGTTTATCTTCATGTAAGGATTCCTTTCTTAAGGCTAGAAGCATTAAACATAGATCCTTTTCAGATGTACTACATATAAAACAACATCTAAAGTTTCTATTATACTTTTATTAGAAAAGAAAATAATGAGAGTCCTTTTAAAAATTAAGAAATTTACATATTAATGTCAGTTGTGTGTGAATCCCAACTATGAAATGGAAAATTGACTCATTAGCCACCATGTGCTTTTTCTCATTTGTCCTCACCCAGTTTTTAATGCAGCAATGATGCAAAAATACATCTGCTGGAAAAGCTAAAGAAAAATCATACAAAGGTCTAAATTTAATAGGAATAGTATGACCTTCCACTAAACAAAAGATCTGAAAGAATTAAAAGAGAACATGTATAAAGTGCCTATCAATTACCTGGGTAGTAAAGGTTACTTTCCTCCCTTCTCTCCTTACAAGGCTCACTATTATCTATCTCACTCATTAAGTCTTATGTCACCTAAAGAGAGCAACCTTTGAGAGCACGAGGGACTCAGTGCCCTACAGTCAGAGACACAGTACCAAGTATTTAGTAGGGGGTTAATAAATGCTTCCTGATTTACTAGAGGATAATAATAATGAACAAATGTAAAACAGACGCTAATTGATAGGCTAAATGCATTAGTGCATTCCACTGCCCTCTATATGAAAGGTTACTAACCCATCTTGGCTAAGTGCTAAAATTATAATTAAGTCTGACGAGAAGTCCTAGATTTATACCAATATAATTACGAATATTACTTAGCTTAGTGATAGAGTATGGTAAGAACAATGAGATGAGTAATTTAGATGATACTGCAAAGTGGGTTTTAATGTTTGAAACTTCTATTACAGTACACAGGATAAGTGCAAGTAGTGTAATTAAAACCTAAAAGAGTCTGATTTTTAAAACTCTACCGCTCAGCCTCATTAAAATGCATGTTTTCTCAATTAATCCAAACTTTTCCATTAAAAACATAAAAATACACTTTCATTCCTTGCAAATAAATCTCTACAGTGCATATATTTAGGATCAAATACCAAATAACCATTACAGTTAAGTAGGAAAAAAAATTATTGAAATAGCAAGAGCTTTGAAAAGATGGAGCCTAACAAAGGAAAGGAAAGACAAAGTGAGGGGTTCTCATTTGTAAATATCCAGTTAGGACTAAATAAGCATTTGAAAAGCCAGAAGATTAGAAATCCCTAAATACCTTTATTTAAATGATATAAACCTAAGCAAAATGTTTACTTAGAAGACAACCTTTCTAATTATACATGGGCTGCTTCTTATTTACCTCTGTATTTAATTACTGATTCTTCCACATATGTCAGCTACACAGAAAATTGTTGTGGAATAAAAGGAAATCATTTTCATAATCATTTTGTTGAAGAAACAGTTTTTTCCTTTTATTTTATTTTATTTTTAAATTTTTTTTTTCAACGTTTATTTATTTTTGGGACAGAGAGAGACAGAGCATGAACGGGGGAGGGGCAGAGAGAGAGGGAGACACAGAATCGGAAACAGGCTCCAGGCTCTGAGCCATCAGCCCAGAGCCTGACGCGGGGCTCGAACTCACGGACCGCGAGATCGTGACCTGGCTGAAGTCGGACGCCCAACCGACTGCGCCACCCAGGCACCCCAGTTTTTTCCTTTTAATTCTTTGTATTACTAAGTAGTTTCTCTCAATATTAAACTAAGGCAAAACATCACAGGATGTTTCCTTATGCACTTTATCTTATTAGATGTTATGAGAAACACTTAAAAGATTATTTTAAGATGTCATAAAATTGACTGTAGAAGAATGTTGATTATAAAGAAGAATTTTTTAAAAAACATTTTTATCAATTTTCTGTAGATTTCAATATACCCTATATGGAAACTATTACTCAAAAACAATAAATACCTTTTATAAATGATGACCATGTGATCTGGATTAGAAAATTTTTCAAGAAAAATTTTACTAAGAAAGAGTCAAGTCAAAGGCTATCACATAACTGTAAGGATAATGCGGGTTAAGTTACAAAACTGTCACTAGAACTTACCATAATGGGGGAAAATGGAGTCCATGTAACTTTAATTTTAAGTACAAAATTAAAAGAGGAGGGGAAAAGTATTTTGATTTAAAACATTATCTGACGCAAACTTAATAAATCCTATTTATGTAAAAGTATTTAAATTTAAATAGGTACTAATTTTAACTGAAATAGTACTTTCTATTCTGAAAGCAAAATATTTTTGGTGGCTTATCTTTAAAAAAAACAAAAACAAAATTTATCCCTCAAAGTTACTGGACCAACATCTTGTCTCTTGTCTGTATTTCAGAACCTACCTACATTAATCATTAGCAGCAGAATAGTCCTACTCCACATTTGATTTCATTATAAAGAAGTCTACTCTCAAGGGCTCCTCTATCTAATTTTCTTTCATGCAATAGTTCAAAGAAAAATGGGTTTATCATTGCTTACAAGAAGAAAACTACCCATTTTATACATTTTGACACTATGTATTAAACTGTCCATCACGTGACTTCCATTTTTAAAACTAATTATATTGATGCAGAGAACAAAATGTCATCCTTGAGAAAGGACCTGAATGCATAATATTTGAAATCATTTCTTAGAATCATTCTCCTTGATAAGTGAACAGTAAATCAAGCACAAAAGTTGCAAAAATATTAAAGTAACAAACAATATATCCTGGATGGGTGACAAAGAAAAATTCAATAGACTGCTGTTATAACTGTTTAGGCAAACATTTGAATCAAAATGCATAAAACCTTGTTGTAAATATAAGCAGTGGATGGATTAAAAGTATACGTCTAGATGGTTTTCAAATCTTAAACATATCTATTTCAAAAGGCATGGCTACATTAAATTTTCCTTAAAATTGTCATGCCTTGTTATAATGATAATTAGTATTTGGTCAGTAGAACACATGTTTCCCTCTGGAAAACTATTTTCAAGATATTACAATGGTTACCTGTCATTTATGATCCAGTTCAGGCAGAGATTGAGAGAGCTAAGATTTTTGCACCTCTTGACAATTTCCATCACGGTTTCATTATCCAGTTCAGTGATATGACGTAGGTCCAAGCTGGAAAGATTTCGTAGCTAATGAGATAAAAAAAAAAAAGTGAAAGATGAGAAAGATGAATGCTACATTCATTCTCAAAATTTATATAGTTTATTACAAAGTAGAGTATCACACTGTATGATACTGAAAATAGATAACAGTCTAATCAAGTTAAACTCATTCATATAATATTTTATGTACTAAATTAGAAATGAATGGAGAAGTATATATATATATATATACATGAATGGCAATATATATATATATATGAATGGCAATAAATATTAAAATCAAATAGATTGTTGACATTTCATAAGAATCAAAAATAGCAACATAATACGTGGGAAAGCTGTTAAAAATATCACATTAAGTACCTACAGTTTAGTAAGATTATTCTAACATTGTTCAATTTCAGATATTTATCTTCAGGATTATAACACCACTTTTGTATAGGTTTTTTCACTTTTTAAAAGATGAGATATGAGTAAGTGGTTAATTCGGAGATACTCTGGTGATATTTTATCAATAAACTCCAAATAGAACTATTACGTGTAGTGTGTTTTACCAAGTGGAAAGCCATATAAAATGCTGTTTAAGTAAAGATTTTTCTCCAGGTGTCACCTTCCCCATTTCTCCCTTTTCTCTCCTCCTTTCCTGAGGTTTCTTGTCTTCCCCTGATGTTTAGTCTCCAAAGAAAATTAATAATATCATTTAAACAAAGATGGAAATCATCCTCTTCAAATAAGCTACAAATCAAATAAGGTATTTTTGCTTAATAACACGTAAAGAATTATTCTGGATGCAAGTGATAAACCAAGTAGCACCCCTTCCAAATATGTCTAAGCCCTAATATGTTACTTACCTGGCAAATGAGACTTTGCAGATGTGATTAAAGTTATGGATTCTGAGATGGAGAGATTATCCTGGATTAACAGGGTAGGCCCAATCTAATTACATGAGCCTTTATATGCAGACCACCTTTCCCAGCTAAAGTCAGAGAGATGTAATGGAAGGTGGTGTAGGAGACATTAGAATTGTGAAAGGGATTCAACATGCCTTTACTGGCTTTGAGTATGGAGAAAGAGAACTAGGAGCTAAGGATTGTGGGCATCCTCTAGAAACTGGAACAGCCCTGAGCTGAAAGCCAGTAAGAAATAGGGACTTCAGATCTACAACCTTAACTGAATTCCATCAAAAACCTGAAGGAGCAAGAAAACAGATCATCCATCCCCTTAAGCTGCTAGAAGGAACACAATCCAGCCAACACCTTGATTTTAGCCTGGTGAGACCCATGTTGTACTTCTGACTTATGCAGCTATGGGATAGTACATTTGTGCTATTTTATGCTATTCAGTGTGCAGTAATTTTTATGTCAGCAGTAGAAAATGACTATAGGGCATTTCTAGCACTGTGAGGGAGCTTTCCCAGAACTGGCCAGTCTTCTCTATGCTTACCCTCAAATCCTTCCGTAAAGGGATCAGGTTAGTCCTGCAGGAAGCTGACCTGCAGGTGTAACCCAACCCAAAGACCTCAGAGGAATGAGACAGTCAAGTTCCACCCAAAGGTTCACTGAGCTTCAATCCCAAGACAACGTAAGACACTGGAATCTCCACTGTTGTCAGGCTACAGGGAAAGAAATGCTCTAAAACAGCATGGTCCCAGAGAACTTTCTGATGATGGAGATATTCTATATCGTTGCTGCCCAATATGGTAACCATAGTCACATGCAGCTACTGAGCACTTAAAATGTCACCAATGTGAGGGAGGACCTGAATTTTTCTCTTATTTAATTTTGTTTAATTTACATTTACTTTTATATATGTATGTGGCTAGTGGCTACAATGCTGGGCAGAGCAGCTCTACAGAACTGAGTCCACTAGGCAGCACTCAAACCCTCTTTTCCACCTCAGCTCACAAAGGAAGTAGTGACACAGAGAAGGTTCACACAGAGCAACTACTCACTGCTCCCTGATATATGCTGCAGAACTGAGAAAAGAAACATAGATAGCTGAGAGGAAATATGAAAATGTCCACAACAGTAGGTACATTCTTTCTAATTGAGACAGCAAGCTTCTGCACACTAAGGGCTGCATTCTGAAGATTCATAAAAAGATTTAGGAAATGTCTCTATAATCAGCTTATAGGGTCAGATAATCAAAGCCACCAATCCAAAGTGAGACTCAGGACAACACTCCAGAATGGAGGCAGAACCAGGAAAGAAGAAATGGATTCAGGGGCACCTGGGCAGCTCGGCTGGTTAAGCATCTGACTCTTGATTTTGGCTCTGGTCATGATCTCACAGTTCGTGGGTTTGAGCCCTGCATCGGGCTCTGAGCTGGCAGAGCGGAACCTGCTTGGAATTCTCTCTCTCCCATTCTCTCTGCCCCTCACTGCCCTTTCTCTTGAAATAAATAAACATTTAGAAAGAAAGAAAGAAAGAAAGAAAGAAAGAAAGAAAGAAAGAAAGAAAGAAAGAAAGAAAGAAAGAAAGAAAGAAAGAAAGAAAGAAAGAAAGAAAGAAAGAAAGAAAAAGAAAAAGAAAGAGAGAGGGAGGGAGGGAGGAATGGGTTCTAACAAAGTTCCTACTCAAGTTACCATGGTCTCAGAGCCTTACCAACAACAGAATATGATCGGTACTTGGCAACCAAAGTACACAGGGAATGCACTCACTTTGTTAAAATAAAACAGACTGTTCTAACCACTTCAGTAGCTCCAGATAGCTCACCAGTCAGAATCAGGGCAGCCTCCCTGTTTCGCCTTCCTCTCTCTGATGACGAGAATCAATACCAAGCCCAGGGCCCAGAGATGAGCTGCTCAGGCTCTAACATTCTGCCTCAAATGTGACTCCTGATCCTTATCCTTTACCCCTTATATATAAGGCAGACTGGCATTAAATAAAACAACAATGATCAAAACTTTTCGAAGTATCTACAGGAACAAAAAACAAATACATAAAATACAAAATAAACAGCAAAGTATGTTTTTTTAAGTTAAAAAAAATGTTTATTAATTTTTAAGATGGGGGAGGAGCAGAGGAAGAAGGAGAAACAATCCCAAGTAGGCTCCATGCTGTTCGTGCAGAGCCTGATATGGTGCTTGAACCATCACCTGAGTTGAAATCAAAAGTCAGACGCTCAAGTGACTGAGCCATGCAGGCATCCCCAAAGTTTTTATAGTCTTTCTGATATTACTAAAATTCTAATAAGGAATCAAAGGGCTAATACATATGTTCCTTATTATGTTTTCTTTCTGACATATCTCTATGTGATGGGCACAGAAACTGAAGTCATTCAGAGTAACAGTTGGGCATGGAACAAAATGGAAGGCTGTGAGTCAAGTGCCGAAATCTTTGGCATCCAATATCTCTATGAAGGAGCAGGAGACACCAGGAGTATAAAAGATGGCAGTAAAATGGGAGACAACAAACACCAAATGGCACAGGTTTCAAAGTCTCAGTGTTTTATTAATTATATTTATTGTTATTATTTTTCATGAGGGTAGAAGATTGATAATCTGAAAGCAGCTGAGAGCAAAGATCTTGCCCCTACCTCCTGACCCTGAGAAACACAGTGAGAAAATAAACAAGTATGGTAGGCAGAATGCTAAAATAACCCAATGATCTAGGCCCTGGTATAATTCTGACCCTGTGTGTGAATAGGATCTGTGAATATAATGGGGGTATCTTCCTTATAAGGTGAAGCTGAAGGGATTTTGCATCAGTAATTAAGATGCCTGACCAGTTGACACTGAATTAATCAAAAAAGACCATATCCTGGATGGGGCTGACCTAGTCAGAGTCTACACTAATGGTCTAGAGGTCAGAGTCATTCTCCTGCTGGTCTTGAAGCAGTCATTACTCAGCCATATTGTGAGAGGAACTGCAAGAAGCCTATAGGAACTGAGAGAAATCCCTGCATGAAGGCCAGCAAGATGATGGGGACCTCATTACTACAACTATAGGGAATTGAATTCTGCCAACAACTACATGAGCTTGTAAGAGGATCTAAGTTCTAGGAAGAAATGCATCCCCAGTTGAGACCTTGATTATGGCCTTGTGAAACACTGGAAAAAAAAGCCACATTGGAGTGTCTAGACTCCTGACCCTTGGAAATGTACATTGTTTTAGGTTCTAAATTGGTGTTAATTTGTTATGTAGCAATAGAAAATTAATACAGAACAGCTTCAGGGTTCTCTATCTTTGAAAAGAAGCCAAGTTTCTCTTAAGACAAGGGTAATATCTTTAACCACCTTAAACACTGAGGCCCACTTCCCTCCTTTAGATGTATATGCTCACAAAGGCACAGAAGGAGATGCGTGGTCCATTCAGCCTTCTCATCTAGGTGTATCTTCAAAGGCCAAGAAAGTACTTCCTGGGAAAATAGGCAACTCGAATTGGCCACTCCTGTTAGCTCCATACTGTAGTGAGGGGAGGTCTTGTTAAATTTTTCAAACCAATCCTCACTCACGGAAAGATGAATTTATTAGAATTGCTTCATGAAAATGTTTGCATATCCCCTGGGTTTTACTCAATTTGTATTTCTTTAAATTTTTTGTTTATTTTTTTGGGAGAGAGAGTGCAAGTAAGGGAAGGAAGAAAGAGGGGAGTACAGAGGATGCGAACTGAGCTCTGGTTGAAAGACCAACAGCAGTGAGCCCCATAACTCATGAACCACGAGATCATGACCTGAGCTGGTCAGACACTCAACCGACTGAGCCACCCAGGTGCCCCCTCAATTTGTATTTTGTAAACAGTCACATTTCCTATAAATATCTTAATAGTGTAAGGACCTGTCTTTTTACTTTCACAAATCTTTTATTTTTCACAAGAATTTGTAAAGGGACTAAAAAAAGTAGCTAATTGTTTCTTTGGTCAAGTTCTCTTGTTCTCAGTTAAGCAAAGATGAACTTGTACATATCAAGGATTAGTCACTGTTACATTTGATACTCTTATTATTAAAGCTCCTCTTAGTAATGTATCCTATACTTGTATTTCCTATATAAAAAATAACCATTTTCTTAAACCACATTATTTTTATAG